GGGGGGAATCAGTGGGGGAAAAAGGAGAAACATCTGTAACAAAAATAAATTAATAAAAAAAAAAAGAATCAGTAGGAAAGATGATGGGAGTCTGCTTTTGCCTTCAATGTAAATGACCATTTTAAATGGAGTGACCTGTTTCACAGGATACGTTTTCTGATACCACAAATTTTCAGGAAGAGTCTTGAATCTAGATCATTGTTTTCCCAAAATCTTTATAGCCCCCCAACCCCTCCCCCACAAAAAAGAGAAAAGAAAAAAACAGTAATTATTTTCTATTAGGGTATTTATACTTAGTCTTTATTTATCCAAATAAAGTTTACACACACACACACACGCACACACACACACACCCCTTAATATATTTATTATAATCCATCAAAACCTGCTAAGTAGCCATTGCTGGGTGGTTGTGTGTATGTTCTTTTCTCTCCCCCTCCAGTCTCCTTCCCCTCCCCCAACCTTGAGTAAGATTCCATACACAATGAAAGCCAGTGAAACAGTAGACGGAACTAAAGAATCGCATGGCAAGGTGGTTAGAAAAGGAAGAGGGGGTGTTGGAGCTCGCAGACACGTGCTTGTAAATGAGATGCTGCAGGTGTTTACCACTTCTGATATGTGGCCATGAGCTCTGTCCTTCCAGTGGGTGTACACACTCTTGCTGTCTCTGCTTTCCCACAGTCCACTCTCCGGGCCTCGTGTACGCTTACCCGTTAGGAGTGTACCGCCGTTGGGAGCTTAAAATTGCAGTGTTCTCTCATAAATCAAAACCCAATAACTTAAACAGGAATTTATATCACAAAACAGATATGGGATCATTGGATTACAAAATGAAATCCAACTTGAAAACTTCGGTATGTGTTCTTTCCATAACAGACTTCTTGAAAGCATTGAATTATTTTATTCACAGAAAAGCTTCCAGTTTACCTTAAAGAATTTGAAAATTAAGAGTTCTTTCTAGTTTTATCTATAAATCAGAAATTGCTATAAAGCATAGCTGAAATTATTGTCTAAAATAGAATCATTTGCAAAAAAAAAGAAGCAATTTGCAGACAAACTTTCCCTTAAAATGTGCCTTTTTGCATAAAGTGAGGTCATCCTGTGAAATACAAAGTAAAGGCACTTTCTGCTTGTGTGTAGAAAAGCCAGGACCAACTCAGAAGGGAAATGCCTGAGTTCTGCCTGGTGTCAGGATGCACAGAGGTTGGAATCACAAGCTGCCTCCGGCAACCCAGTGCCCCCGAGCTGCAAGCCGGGAATGCTGCAGGGACCGAGCCTGGGAAAGACCCGGCGGATGCTTCTTTCATGTTTGCCTCTGGGAACGACCTTTGTTTTATTAGTTTACTGTTTCTAATAAATATGAAATGCTCTTTCTTTGTTTTATGAACTCTTGTTATTTTGGTTTAGGCTCTGGTTGTGGAAAAACACACACAGCGCATCAGACGAAAGTGCCATCAATCGGGTGTGCAGGGACGTGTGAGTGTTGGGTGGCTGAGGAATGGACCGCAGTTCCCATAACTATGGAACTATTGAGATGCGATACATAGATTGATGTGCGTTAACAGATGATTGTTGTTTCACATTGCATATAGAAAGAAAGGCATTGGGTTATGACATTCACTCCCCAACGCTTGCTTGCTATTGGGGACGGAGGGCACCTGGGGTGTGGCAGAGAGAAGTTCAGGCAGAACAGATGAAAGTCAGCTCTGAGGACCCTGGGAGCAGCCGTAGACCCGGCAGCTGGCGTCACGTGGCTCATGGCTCGTGATGAGGAGCAAACTGACAGCAATTCCGCAGTAAAGCCAGGGCAAGGAGTCGGCTGGGAAACGGAGCCTGTACTTGTATCCCTGTCTGATTAGAGAGACGGACAGCGCTTACTCACGCTGGGAATGCTCTCCCTCCCCCTTTGATTTACTCTGCAGTTTGCATGGAGGCACATCCCTGGAAGTCCATGCAGCCTGAGAAGTCCATGGCTGAAGCTTTGTGTGTATTGCTGCCCACGCAAGGGACAACCAAATGACCGCTTCGCAAGAGTATCTTCTGAAGGAAAAATAACTCTGCTTTTAAGTGTTAGCCTCAGAACACCTGGGTTTAAGATCAAAGGGAATGATATAAAGGAAGCATACATGGGGGCCTGGCGAGGCTGAGTTCTGAGATGACTTGGCACGTTTGAGTTCCTCTCCACCGGAGCCTCCCACGGAACGGGCTTGTCTGGGTGCTGAGGGTCCTCTGTTTCCTGGGAAATGAGCAAGTTAAGACATGACCCTCCAGGAGGTTTAGTACACTGATGTATACGCAGCTTTCTCCTCTGTCCTTTCCCTTCCTAATGTCCAGCCTGCTGTGGCTGGTTTATCGGAGTTTTCAAGAGCGTGGTTCGCTTTACCTGCAGGGAGCATGCAAGGGTGACAGGGTAATGATGTGTCGGCTGTGAATTCATTCGGCTAATCGGAAGGCGATGTGTAGAGCAGGAAAGCGCCAGACTCAGAGGTGCTGACTTGTGAAACGTGGCGGTAAGTGCATTTCTAGCTGAAGGAGCCGACGTTCCAGCGTCCTAATCATGAAAAGAAAAGGAGACGATGACGGGCAGAAAGGGGAAGGCGGAACAGCAGCAACACCTTTACTGGTCTGCACCATCCGTGCCGGAGGCCCACCTCTCACCAAAAGGAGGAGAGCAGAGGGCAAACGTCTGGCAGCCTGTGACTCGGGGACAGCAGGTCGAAGGAAGACGCCAAGGTTAATTAGGAGCCATGTGAGCACAACACAAGTGGGTGGAGGGGAGCAAGGGCTAGACGTGAGGTTCACTGCTGAATAAACAGTAAGCAGGTCTGCGAGCCCGGACTCAGTGAGAGCGGCTGCATGTCTTTAATTCATTCACTTATTCCCGGCGGCCGTGCAGAGCAAGGCCCTCTGGAGAGCTGCTGCAACTGCGCAGCCCGCACTGAGCATGTGACAGGGTCTCGGTTGCTGGGGCTGCAAAACAAATTACCCCAAAATTCAGCGGTAGAAGACAACTGTTTATGATGCTCGTGGATTATACGGGTCAGGAATTCACTTAGGGCTCAGCAGGGACGGCTTGTCTCTGCAGCGTGGGGTCTGGGGACCTCAGTGGAAAGATTCAAAGGCTGGTGGCTGGAGTCACTTGAAGCTTGTTTGCATATGTGTCTGGGGGGTGGGGTTGGTGGCTGATGTCAACTGTGACCTTAGCTGAGCGATTGGACAAAATTCCCACACACGGTCGCTTCGTGTGGTCTGAGCTTCCTCACAGCATGGTGGCTGGGTTCCATAGAAGAGTGTCCGGAGAGGGTGAGCCAGGCGGAAACTGTCTTTTTATCACCGAGCCTCAGAGTCACACAGATAGCATAGTCCTCTGGCCAGAGCCATCACGGACTGAATGCCAGTCACAATAAAAGAAAAGCAGATAGAGATATATGGACATGTGCATGTGTATACATGTACAGATAAAAAAATCTATCCATTTAACAGGAGTGGAAGAAAAAATTAACCACATCACACAGTAAAAAGTGATAAGTACTTTAGTGATTACTTTGTCAGTGATGGCACACAGAATCGTGCAACTGAAATAGACTGATGAAAACTGACCCCTGAGCACTAAGCTTTCTAACCGTAAACCTGCTGCTCGTCTCTTCCAGCATTTTTACCATTATCCGTACTATCGTTTCCTTAATTTTTTTCTTAAAATTGACCTGTTGTTTTTTTTCAATTTTGTTTTAAAAGCGAATTAGATAATACTATCTAAAATAAAATTTTTTTGCTACAGTACATTTGCCATAAAATAAAAGCAACTCTGAATATAATAAGAGGAAAACAGAACAGTTGTTACATGCTAACTACACACTGTCAGTTGAAGGAGCTGAGACTGGAGGGACCCCTCCCTTCTTCAGAAAACAAGTCGGCAGGTGTTCGAAAGACGTTAAATCACACTCACAGGAAACTGAGGCTGTCCCCTGACTTCACCCGAAAGATTGAAAGAAAAGTGAAAGCAAACGCTCCCCAGTGAGAAGGTCAGTGATATTTATGGCCAGGTCCGTGTGCCTCCCAACATCTTTCAAAGAACCATCAATATTATCATCCTGCTTTGCTGGCAAACACTGGATCGAGGGATAAAAATTAGATAGCTGAGCTCTTATCCAGGTTCAGCCAAGTGCCTAGGATCCATGAGGAAGCCCAGCCTTGAGCCCGGTGATCGTTGTTAATTAACAAATGTATTTGTAACCTGCCATCTGTCAAAGGCTGGGGGGGCCCTCGTTCCTCCGTTTGGTTTGGTTTGGTTTTATAAACACCTCCTTAAAAGATCCAGGGAGCAATGGAGGGTCTTGGCTGGTTGCTTCCCCAGAAGGTCTAGCTGCCCCCATTATCTCATTACCATTCCCCACCTGCTGGCGGAATTGACTTCCTGCTCCCCCAACCCCCCACTGTGGCATAACTGATATTCTTGGGCTTTTCAGAGCTGCCCGCAGTCCAGAGCTCCCAGGCCGACATGCACTCTTTAGTATGCAGTATCTAAGTCCTGTAACGTTCATTTGAAAGATAATTATTAGCATCTGCCAGGACAAGTGTTGTACTAGGCCCTGGAGATATCAGAGGACAAAAGATGGACACGTTCTTGGAATACAGAGAAAGACCACTTGGAGGCAGCTCTTACCCCACCCCACCCCCCAACGTTTAACGACTTGCTTAGCAACCCCATTGTCTCGTTGTCAGAGTATTCATCAGAAAACACTACCACCTGCAGATGGTTCCCAGTAGAGATGATAACCTGAGGATAGATGGCATTTCCATGGGCTTCTCTACCTGGAGCTTTACTTTTTGGTTTTCAGGGGTATGGAGAAGGTCTGCTCAGGTTGGGGAGACAACAGTCAGATATTTTCATTGGGGAATCTGGCCGGCAGCCCTCACTGCACTCTAGGACCTATGATAGTGGTGCCTTTCCAGGCCAGGGGCTGGCATTAACAGACCTCCTCTTCCTTCTTCATTTGTAGTCAGCCGCCGTGAAGCTGTCCAAGCCCGTGGCCCTGTGGACGCAGCAGGATGTCTGCAAGTGGCTGAAGAAACATTGTCCGAGTCAGTATCAGATCTACAGCGAGTCGTTCAAACAGCATGACATAACTGGTAAAGTATGCAGTTTCCAAACTATTCCCCTCCCTCTCCCCAGCCCTGGCTGTTCCCATACCCTCACAATGAGATAGCGTCTTTCTGCTTTCTGGCACGGATTCTCTTAGGGGCGACCGACTCCAGATCCCCGTGAGCCTTGCTACTTAACAAGCACAAGACCGTGTTGGAGAGAAGCATGGATTCCTAGCCTCCCATGTCAAGATGTGTGGGAGTCAGGATGAGGGGCTGGGGGCTCCCAGAGGAAAGGAAAGCAGTCCTAGAGAAAAGAAAGGGAAGACGTCTTTCAAAAGAATTTGGTTACAGGTTCAGCAGGTAGATCTTCTAAGTAGAAAAAATGTCTAAGTAGGAATTCTGAAGTGAATATAATAATACTAACTGACCGGCCCTGAGATGAATTCCTTCAAAGCACAAATTAAGGCTCCATTTGGATCAAGGGCCTTTGAGATCCATGTGTGGGGGTCAAGGAGCACAAAAAGGTCAGTACAATGAGCTGTAAAAGCCCTCAGGGTCAAGTCCCTCCTTTGGAGGAGGGGGCGGGCAAGGGGAAGAAGATAGGCCTACTGAGGGGGCCCTCGGAGCACAGGAGTCTTTCCAGACCTCGCCTGCCCTGCTGCCACCCTGAGGTGCTTTCCATGCTGCACCCCCCCCCCCCCCCGCCCCTGCAAACGCCATGATCAAAGATAGGACTGAGGAATACGCTCTGTGCGCCAAAACCAGGCTTCAAGAGGAAAAATAAATGTCAAGAGAGTGCTGAGCCCTGGCCAGTTTAGCTCAGCGGTTAGAGCGTCGGCCTGCAGTCCAGAGAGTCCCGGGTTCGGTTCCCGCTAAGGCCACGTACCTTGGTTGCAGTTTGTCCCCGGCCCTGGTTGGGTCGTGAGGGTGGCAGCCACTCGATGTGTCCCTTTCACGTCGATGTTTCTCTCTCTCTCTCTCCCCTCTCCCCCACTCTATCTGAACAAAATATTTTTAAAAAAAGAGTGCTGAGTGTGGTGCAGAACCTTCCTCGGCGCCGAGAGGAAACGGGGCTGCGGTGGAAACAGCCTTGCTCCGAGGAGCTCCGCGTTCTGGGTGCCTCTCTCCTCACCGCACTCTCTGGCTTCTGAAATCCCATCCTCTCTGCAGACCCATTGCTCCTGCACTTTGGAAAGCATGATTGCTGCCGTTCAGTGTTTGCCCTGGAACTCCGAGAGCTGCGCAGGTCCTCTGTGCCTGGAGCAGGACTTGGTGGGTGGTTTCGAAGTGGGCTCCGTGGAGCCCTTGGGCACAGTCAGGCTGCCAGGGGACCAGGGGCACGGGGAGTGTGCTTGGGTAGAGGTATGTCAACCAAAGCAACTCCCTTTGCTTTTTATATTCACATTGTATAGAAAACTTGATTTGGAATCACCCTGAAGTTTGAACATCACTAAACTAGATTATCATAGAGTCCTGAGGACCAAGTCCATAATGTTTAAATATATAAGGAACACACCCAAGTGTAGCGCAAACTGGGTTAACAGAGCATTAAATACTCCTAATTTAAGCGTGAAAAAAGGTCTTTAATTCACTTCCTCTCTCCTCTCAGTGGGAGGTAATGGCCCATTTGGATAAAATTCCTGAAATCCTGAGGGCAAGGTTGGAACTGTGCTTAGATTCCAGGTGTCAGATTTCATTTCCTAGTCCCTCTCTTAAGAACCTAAGAAGATCCGCGGAAGGTCAGCTCTTCCACCCCTACACGCGATCAATCAGCTGGGCACCGGTCGGCTGATTATGGTAGCCTTCATCAGGTAATGTCTGCCTAATGTTTCCTAATGCCTGTGATAGTGAGGGCGCAGCCTTTTTCATGATCTTATTGGAAAGCAGTGTTCGCTTTCATTAAGGGCGAGAATTATGAGATACCCTTGAGGGAAGGGTAAGCGTTCCTAATGGTTGGAAGAGGATGAGCGTTTCGCTCCTCGGAAATGAAGATCCCACGCCTCAGTGCTTGTGGAGCAAAGGGCATGGCTTTCCACGCTCTCTGCTAAGTGACACGAGGAGAGGGGGTGCGGGAAGGAGACTGTGCTTCAAACAGCTGGCCTATCGCTTTCGGCGGCATGCTCGGTCCCGTGGAACACTGCTGGCGTGGGTAGATAGCAACCTCCTCGGGACCTTGGGCGAGATCCTGGCAAGGATTCTGAGCAAGTCATTGAACCTCACTTCCTCATCTCCAAAATGAGAGAGAATGATGGCACCTGTCTCAGCGCGTCGTCGTGAAAATTAAATGCAATAATGTGAGTAAAGTGCTAAGTCAGCCGTCTGTTGACACCTTTTGCACGCCGGCATTGCACTGTCATTTACGTCTAGGCTCTTCGGGAGTGCCCAAAAGCACAGTATGACTTCATTCCAAGGGCAGCCTGCTTTCTGGCAAGAAGGGAAAGCAGGGAATTATTTGGGGACTTAGGGATCAGAGAGAATGACATCCGATTAACATCGGGTCCACTTCTTGACCCTTACCTATTTGAGGCCTCGAAAGACCAGTCTCTTCCCCTGTTCTCTGGCCAAAGATAGAATGTAAAATTCCCAGGGGATCACAAGTGCTACGTGACCAGAAAATAGCTTTCAGAACTAGGGCCAGCCTGCAGTGGCCAGCTCCATGATGCTGGAAGCTGTGGGAATCCTGATACCCTTGAGACTGGAATCAACAAAGCCAAAAGGCTTATCAAATATCAGGGTGTGGTGAGGGCACCCCCGTCAACAGCCTACGCAGACTGCAGGGTGACTTAGAAAGGTCCGGGCAGTGGGTGCCGCAGCTGAGCTGTGTCATTTTGTGAAGGTGACTTGATGTCCTCCAGCTTCCTCCAGCTGTGAAAAGGGGATGATGCTGGTCTGCGCCTGGTAGCGCTGCTGGGACAGAAGTTCGAGGCCACAGTAAGCATGCAATGAGTGTTAGGCGTCGCTGTTTTCTGAGGTGCTGTCCTGATTCCTAGGAAAATAAACAACACAAACAGTGTTGAATCCGTCTGTCTTTGTTTTCATGAACACTGGGAAATGAGCACCTCAGCGGGGGAGGGAAATAATCTGGGCTGGTAAATAAGCTGTGCTTGTGTGCAAGGCTGCAGTAAAGATGTGCATGAGTCTCTTCTTTATGCTTAGATTTTCCTGAGTACTGCTGTTCATCTGTTTCCTTAAAGTAAGGCTCTCCAGTATCATGCTCATTGAGGAGGCATGCTATATCAATGAAACATATAAATAACCCCTTAATTTAAAGGCAAATGGTACAGTGAGGATATATATTAAATGCAAAGGAAAGAGGATGGAGTTTCTGACCACAGACCTGGGTCAAATCCTCCTACCTTGTCCTCCACGCCCAACCTTGGACACATGCTAGCTGTACAACATCATGCAAGTTTCTCATCAGTGAAACAAACATAATATTTATCTTAAAGTATGACGGGACAGATTAAATGTCATGATGGAATTGAAGGGCCTAGCTCAGTGCATATAGACATTGATTCATTTAGCAAGTATTTCAGAGCATCTGCCCTGTACCAGGTTTGGGGAATGCAGAAGTAAATAAGGTCGTCAGTGGTGTGTGTGGGTAAAAATCTGTGCTTCCATGGAAAACGATGCATCGTCAATAGCACACTGTTTTATATCGTCTCAATCTGTGTCTACAGAGATGTTACAACTCTGTAAACTGATAGCAATACGACATAATTTTTGTTGTAGACATACGAATCCTGCCCCACGGGGTTTCGGGTGACTTCCCTAGCTACTGTGGAAAAGGTTAGCTGTGCCTTCCATTTACACATTCATCCTTCCCTCTACCTGATCTACGAATGCTCCTGCTGTGGGACCCTCCACTGGGCCGGTTGTAACATCTTACCATTTTCCTCACTAACGACTTAAATAAGATCTTAAAACATGCTCATTGTTATATTGATCGTGGTCATGATTTTAACTTTTGAAAAACATGTAACCTTCCACCTCGGTAGTTTAATTTTTTTAATTTAGGATTTAGCCAGTCATTTCACTGTGTGGACATTCTCTGATGCCTTTGTTTAAAGGAAGAACCCAAAACAAACTTCGCCCTTAGTTTCTCCAAAGTCTAAGGAAACTTTTGATATATTTTAACCCACCGGCATGCAAAACCTTTCGCACATTTTCTCTTGGAAGTTCTGAGAATTTCACTGTGTCCAGAAGGTACCTGCTATGTTGTGGCAGATGTGTTTAATCAGAAGAGAAGCTGCTGGGTTAACTCCCTGCAGAAGGGCTCTTAAAAAGGCATAAGATGGTTAGAACACCTGAGAGGCATCAGGATAGATAGATTTAAATCATCAGATTAGGCTGGAAGGAAAGAAATTTGTCTATTTTCCTGCGCTTGCAAGATTTCTCTCCCCAGCTTTCTGAAGCCAGGCTTAGCATGCTGATGAGCACGCTCTGCTGGGGCCAGGTGTGAGCTCACAGACAGCTTTCCAGATTCTCTTTTATGCACAGTTAAGAATCTTTTCAGGTTTGAAGCATTTCAGCCCCTGACTGTGCCTGGTATTCTTCCTGTGGCGGTTGCTAAAGTCAACTCACCTCCTTCAGCGTTGCGTCCTCCATCGGCAGAGGGTTCTTTCCCCTGCCAACTTTAAAGACTGTGTTCATGGGTGAAGCACTCAGACTTCCCCGGAATACAAAACATGTTTTAAAAAGCCATTTTGAATGTGTAAAGGTTTTCGTGTCGGCTGCTTTGTGGTACAGCGACAGGAATCCTTTAGATGTCTAGATATATACAAGAATAAGTAGTTACCATGTGGGTATCCCCTGCAGGTGGTCAGCATTGATCTGTCATATTTCTCAATGAGCTCCTACAAAAGCAATGAAGACTTCTGGTCATTTTTTGTGCTTCAAGCACTGTCCATTTGTACCTCTTCAGTTCTCCTTATGCTGTTGAATGGAGGGGGTGCCTCTGTCTCTTTTTCAGATTTTGGCTTTGTGTATTTGCTAACATTGTTCCCTTCCGTGGGGATTTCTCCAAGCTCTTCCACCCCTTTATC